TAAATTACCAACCACTCCTACTAGATTTAGATTGACTACTATGTCATGCATGTTCTTTCTTCTGATAACTTTTGACATCAATATAATGTAGAATAATAATACATCATTAATGTTTCAAAAGTACTTTTAGCTTCTCAATGTATGGAGTCTGTCCATACATAATATAAACACATGGGACTTCAATGCCTAGCTGAACACCACGGTTAACATGTCCTCCAGTAATTTTACAGACGGCACTGTGTCCAGGTTTCATTAGGAAATAATGAAAAACTTTGCTCAAAGATAAAGGGACGTGACCAGCAACATAATCGTCTTTCATGATAGCGACAGCATATCTGTCGTGTTCATTGTTGGTTTCACGACTCAAACCAAGTACTTCCAATACAGGAGTCCATAAGTGACTGTATACATGATATCCACGAACGTGAGACTGTAACTCAAAAGAAGAGAGCGCTAATTCAGCCATAGCCAGCCAAAGACAAGACAGCAGTCGATATGAGCCTGAGGGGGTCACGTGGTATCAATTTACTGTTCCAGCTGCAATTAGCGAATATGGCCGCCGCACCTGTCAAGAGAAACGAGTTGTCTTTGAAGAGAAGGATCGAGGTCCTTGATTACATCGATAGAAACCCTGGTTGTGGAGCAAGGAAAGTAGCAACGGTTTTTGATTGTGAAGAGACTCAGATTCAATCGATCATTAAAAGTAAAGTCTCAATAAGGAACCAGTTCGAACTTATGAACTGTTCTCAAGACACTAAAAGAGCTCATAAAGCCACTTTCCCAGATATAAATGAAGCCGTTTACAAATGGTACTGTTTAGCTAGACAATAAAACATACCTGTTTCTGGGCCATGTTTGAAAGAAGCTTTAGAAATTGCCCGATCTCTCGATAAGGATACGACATTCAAGGCATCAAACGGCTGGTTGGACTGCTTCAAAAAGCGACATGGTATTCAACAGATGACTGTGAGTGGAGAATGTGGAGATGTCAGTGAAGCTACGGTTACTGGGTGGCACGATAGGGTGAAGTCTCTGATTGCTGGTTATTCTCCCGAAGATATATGGAACACAGATGAAACTGGTTGTTTCTACCGTGCACTTCCTGATAAATCTCTCTCTGATAAAGCTAAACAATGTAGAGGAGGAAAGAAGGCCAAGGAGAGGCTAACCATCTCTCTTTTTGCCAACGCAGCAGGTGGGAAAGAAGCACCAATAGTAATTGGTAAGTCTGCTAGTCCCAGGTGTTTTAAAGGCCTAAGAAATAAGAAATGTCCACATGGATTACCATACTACGCCAATAAAAAAGCGTGGATGAACATAGATGTCATGGATGAAGTCATTTTACAGCTAAATAAAAAAATGGTTAGAGAGAAGCGAAAATACTTCTATTTATGGATAATGTGTCTTCCCACTCTCCTAATTTAAAGGATAAGTTTTCTAACGTCAAAGTCATCTTTCTTCATGCTAATACCACTTCAAGACTACAACCTCAAGATGCAGGCATTATAAAAAATTTTAAAGTTAAGTATATGAAGAAAGTACTTAAATATATGCTAGCCAGAGTAAATGAGGAGGATGACACCACTGCTTCTACTATTTGTAAATCGGTTGATATTTTAATGGCTATACGATGGATAAAAGAAGCTTGGGAAGAAGTAACCGAGCAGACTGTCACCAAATGTCTTCGACACTGGTATTACTAAGGCACTGCTTGTGAGGCTGAGAATGATACCGATGACGACCCATTTGCTGAGTTGGATGAATTGGTTACACAAGTAGGTACTACTGATGGTATCTCAGCTGAGCAATATGTAGATGATGAATCATATCTTTCAACCAGCCTTGGTATAGATATTGACGACACAACTGCTGATTGGAGATGCAATTTGAGATCTGCTGTTGTTAGTTAGATGTCGTCATCACAAAGCAATGAAATAATGCATACTGGAAGTTGTGTAGTCCTAGATGGTGATACATGTAGCAGCGATGAATCTCAAGATGAAGATGTTTCATCTAGTATCACTTCGTATGATGAAGGCATGGCAATAGCATATAACCTAATCCTTTTTTAGTCGAAAAAGGGCACGAAAAAGCTGCTGAGTTACAATCACAAGTTCTCTCGACATTACAAGACGAAAAACTAAAGATAAAACTAACATCTCAGTTACACCAAACTACTCTTAGAGACTTTTATTGATAACTAGATCTATATATATATATATACAGTATATAAAAGAGTTG